TTCACTAACGGCAGCCCTAAGAAGCGTGCAGCCTCTATGTGGTCGGTCCACAGGGACAAAGGCGTTAGGGCTGTTGGGTTTTTCAGGCATACGAAGAGATGCTTCGAGTCATGAGGTGTCTCTCCGCATGCCAGACACTCATTCGGCACATCCGCGTTTAGTCTGCTCAGGTATGAGTTTAACCTGCCGCAGTAGCCAGAGCGAAGTTGGGCTATTGTGGTTCTTGTCTCCCGAGGCAGATGAAGCTCCGTCTCATCTATGTCCGGTGGTTGTGCGCCTAGAACGGCATTCACAGGTCTGGAGTCTACATAACTCGGGACTGACTCCCTGTGAATGCCGTTCAGGGCCTGCCGATATGCTGACGGGTCCAGAGGTTGTTTAATGAACCTCTGGACTTCGTCCGTCAGATGGTAGAGATGCCTCCTGACGTGCCTGGGCGAGGGCTATTCTGCAAGCAGCTGCCCATTCGGCTGACCACGTCTATGGCCCCCGACAAGGAAATGCTTGCAGATGTAATGTGTTATGCTCGTTGACAGGGAGCAATTTCGCCTCGTCGTGTAGGTGGTGTTCAGGCGACATCAGAAGGCATCCAGTCGCTGTCCGTAGTGCGGTATTCTGAGTTGTCTGCAGCTCCTTCGTCCTGGTGGTGAACAAGGTCGCAGAGGATTTCGTAGGGGAGAGGGTTAGGCTCCTTGCAGTGAAGAAGCGAGAAGCGATACCCGTTTACTTTCGAACACAAGTCATCAATTCCATTCCCAGTCGCCATGATCGAGCAATCATCGGCGTAGGAGACAATCAAGACTCCCGCTGGTGGTTGAGGGAGCTTTGAAAAGTAAAAGTTAAACAGTAGCGGGGAAAGGACACCACCCTGTGGAACCCCCTGTTTTATTTTTCTAAGTTTGACGATTTGTCTCTAAACATTACCGACGAGTGTCGACCATTCAGATAATTCGCCGACCACCGTTTGAGCCTCTGTGGGAGAGAGGAAGCCGCTACATCTTCTAGTAGCGTGGAGTGGCTGACGGTGTCAAACGCCTTCGACAGGTCCAACGCTACTGGAATAATTCTCCCACAGGGACGGTTGCGGTCAAGGCCACGTGTTATCTGAGTGTTTATGGAGTTAAGTGCTGTAGTTGTACTGTGGACTTTACGGAAACCATGCTGATGCCTGGGTGTGTGTGAGTATGATGTATTGTGGAACGATTTTCCGTCATCGCTTGTCAAATTTGGTTTGGAGACAAACCGGTTTCGGCGTTGTGCCATCTTCAGTGTCATTTGTGTCAAATTTGACAAGGGATGACGAACAATAAATTCTTACAGACTATGGGAAGGTTAAAAGTATTTAATTTAACTACTTAATTTAGATAATTGAGCTTAAAATATTCACAAATGATGACTTTTGAAGCGAAAAAGCGATATCGATAGAATTAGAGATTATATTGGATTCATTAGCAGCTCTGCAGAGGGGCGAATTCCGAACATAATTCGTTTTACAATAACTACAGTAAAACGTATAGCAGAACCGAAGAGATCTTTGCGGAACATTAAAGTGGATACGTTCCAAGAGGTAAGGACAGTCAACAGTTCCTTGAATAATGCCGAACACAAAAGTTAGGGATACGACCTTTTTTTCCAAATATAACACCAAGGTCCTTAATTTCTCTGATAAGCTGCAGAGTGCTGCCTGAGATACGATACGAGGTAACAAACACATTTGGGGACTTAGAGAAAGTAACATGAAAACATTTATTGACATTAAGAGAAAGGCGCGATTGAAGGCACCAAGCGTGCAGGTTGTCAAGCTCTGTTTGAAGTTTGAGCATGTCGGAAGTGCCCGTTATGTTCGAGAATATTTTCAAGTCGTCGGCGTATAACAGATAATTTGAAAAAGAGAAGAATGAACTAATGTCATTTATAAACAAAACAAAAAGCATTTGCCCGAGAACACTACCTTGAGGCACGCCCGAGGTCGCAACGAAGATATCAGAAGAAAAATGGTCTACCGTAACAACGCAACGCCTGCAACACAAATACGATTTAAGCCAGTTTAAAAAGACAGAATGGAAACCTAGGCGTTCGAGTTTCGAAACTAGAATTCTATGCGATACCTTGTCGAAAGCCTTCGAAAAGTCTGTGTAGATACAAACCACCTGAGATGCATAAGAAAAAACCGAAATACCATATTCACTAAAGACCGCAAGATTTGAGACCGTGGAGGACCCAGGTACAAAACCATGATACTCTTGACCGAGAAATACATTTTATCCTTAAAGATGCATTCGAACAGTTTAGACACGGTAGACAGTTTAGAAATCGGTCTATAGTTACTGATTTCATTTTTGTTTCCACTTTTGAAAATTGGAGTTATAGAGGCCAATTTCCACGCATCTAAAAACATCCCAGTAGAAAGTGACTTGTTAAGGATAATTTTCAATGGAAGGATCAGTGCTGGACAGTTTTTTAATAAAAGTGCGGATACTACATCGATGTCAGGTCTTGCGGAAGTCTTCAGATCAACAAGAGCTTTCGCTACATCATCGTATGAGAGGTAAAGGGAAACAAAGCCAAATGAGGAACTAACACCGAATGCAGGCCCAATATCAAGGTTTGTATATGCATTACGCAATATCCTGGTCTGAAATACCGCGCAGATTGTAGGAGGAACTAGGTGTTGTCGGCGGCGACGTGTGGGTGGTGGTGCGGTTGCGTCTGTAATGTGGTCTGTCGCGGTTGTGGTGTAGTCTATTGTGTTGTTGTGTTGTGGTGCTGTGGTGTCTGTGTTGTGCTGCTCAGGTAGACTGGGGTCAGCCGTGGAGGCTGCTCTGTTTGAGCAGCAGGAGGCCACAAAAGATGTGGTCCACTGCCAATGTGTCCGTAGTCCTGAGCAGACTCTGAGGTGGCTCCACCCCTCGCAAGCATTGCACTTGACTGAGGTGGAGTTGTGGTGTAGTCGTCTCTTGTATACACAGCAGGTGTAGGTTTCTGGCCCTGGGTTTGACTCGATGCCAGCCCTGAGCAGAAGTATACGTAGCGAATGTAGCCCTATGGACGACCAACTTTTGAGATCTTTATGAACTGACGGACGAAGTCCAGAGGTTCATTAAGCAACCTCTGGACCCGTCAGCTCATACACAGGCCCTGAATTGCATTCACAGGGACGCAGTCTCAAGTTATGTAGACTCAAGACCTGTGAATGCCGTTCTAGGCACACAAACACCGGACATTGACATGACGGAGCTCCATCTGCCTCGTGAGACCAGACCGACAATAGCCCAACTTCGCTCTGGCTACTGCAGCAGGCTAAATTCCTACCTGTGTAGGTTAAGTGCAGATGTGACGAACGAATGTCCGGCATGCGGAGAGACCCCTCACGACTCGAAACATCTCTAACCCCACAACCCCTATGGACTGACCCCATAAAGGCTGCACGCTTCTTGGGGCTGCCGACGACTGGAATATCAGCCGATCTGGGCGGGGTTGTTGTAGCCGCTACAACAACAACCAACTTCTGATAAACGGGGTTAGATCGCCGAAACAACAGCCCTTGGTCGAGTAACACCCCCGAGTCATTCCGGTACGTAGAACCGGCTGTCGTGGGAATGTTCGTTTAAGATTGGTTACCATTGGTGCTTCAAAAATGGAAAATTCAGAAAAATTGTTCATTGATATATAGAATATTTAAAATATGCAATGTATATGGTTGCAATGTCTCACAACTCTGCATATACAAACAGTTTGAGTACCGCAGTATAACAGTATCCAAACATTGACTGACTTTCAAAACGTAACAATACAATGTTTGGAAACTGTTATACTGCGGTATTCAAACTGTTTGTATATGCAGAGTTGCGCAGCATTGCGATCATATACATTGCATATTTTAAATAGGGAAATGTTTAGTAACTGCCCCTCGTTTTGGGGGTGGGGGGCGCCACTATATAGCGGACAGTCACCACTTTCTAAAAAGGCGTACGGCCCCCCTTGGGCTACACCCACAGGCTCCTAGGGAACCGTTTTTTAATTAATTTAATAGTTATTCGCAAAACACTTGCACTTTGCACTTGTCGCCCCATGTGTTGATAAATTTGATGCAAATAAATGGAGCAAACGAAAGTTGTTCTCTGCAGAAGGTGTTCAGCCCCCCTTCTTTGGCAACACAGAAAGGAGAATTCTACTGCCTGAGGGTTATAATCCCTAAGTGCTGTCGAAGGCCGCCTACGCAAAAAGCGGACGCCTGGTTCCGCTAAAGTGCACATAACGTATATTTTTAATGCTTACTGGGTTATATCCTATCTTCTTTTGTCTCTAATTCTTTTGCATATTTTTTTTTTGTTTGACAGCTGAACTCCGCCATTTAATTTGCATATGCAACCAAAGTCAGACGCGTGATTTTGAAGGTGTTTTTATTTAATGAATTGTGATTAATTGGTTAACATTAAAGTCGTAAAGAAAGTTATAACTAATCCGATAAAGTGTAAAGTGAAGGGGAATACAAAAATATATTGGTGGAGTGATAAATGTTCGCTAATTTTCGATTTTTACAAAAAAGGGCATATTTCAAACCCAACTTGTAAATAAATTAGTGACCAAAAATTACAAAAGTTGGTGTTAAAATAAAGTGTAGACCCTTGACTACAAGTGGGTGGAATTTTTTTTGGATCGGGCCACCCCTTTGGACGGAATAGTTCGAAATAGTTGGGGGCGCTACTAAACCCCACCCTTGAAATATTCAATATAGCAATGAACAATTTTTCTTAATTTTCCATTTCTCTTACACCAATGCTAACCAATAACAAACAAGGCATCAACTTTGTTTCTGATGCGCTTATTGCTCTAGCGATACGTTTCGATAACTTTTCGGCTGCGTTTTGGAACGTATACATTGTCAATATTTTGTAGTTCGACGTTATGGAACCCTATACTTTGTACCTATGCAAAACAATTGACGTTTTGGAAGTCAGCCATTGTACTGATACGTTTTGGAAGTCAGCCATACTTACCAAATAGTGTACACTTGCTTGAATTATTAGAATTTTGATGTCGATCATAGCAGATATCCATTAATTGGGTTGTGCGATGGACACTCTTGGTCAAACGCTTTTTGGAGCTACCCACATTTGTGTCGGCATCGCATAAACCTTGGTAGATATCAGGTGTTAGGCTTTCTACAACATCCATATATCTACAAGAAAGCAAAGTCATTAGAAAACCACGGTAGCATCTTTAGTGTAAAGGAACCTTTTCGCGTCTAATGTTTCCTTTCCTCGTCTGGTAAAAAGAGGTACTGTATTTTTGTCGTTATACCCACTCGGTGTGACCTCGCAGGGGTCCCGTACCATCAACAGAGAGAGGCATTCTGGGTAACCGACATAGGCACTAAGAGAATCGTTGAATAATTTTATCGAATCTGTCATATGGTCAATAGTAGATAATGAAAACTGCAACGCTGGTATCGTGTTGTTAATATATTCAAATACTTCACGGCTGAGATAGGGAATGCTACCCCCCTATTTAAAAGATTATCTTAATATTGCCTATAAACACGCGTTAATGAGTACCCACTTTTGTGCTTTGCACTAACAAAGGCGTCCGGAATCGCCTGTCAGTTTCCATTTGCACCAATTGGCCAAGGCGTCCGGAGGATTTACTTACACTCTCAATGACGAATTTCATTTCGAAAACGGTAGTTTTGTATAAAATATATGAAGCCTGCTTGTCGATCAAGATGTTTTTTTTTTATTCGATGGAGATGCGCGATACATCTCGGTTAATTTATACCGATATCAGGTGTTGCGATACTATATCGATACAATATTTTGGTTCGATATTTTAAATATCGGAAAACTTCCTGTACCGACTCTAGGGGCTTCTGAATTGAAAATAAAATTGGCTAGTTGAAAACGGGCAAACTATAGACGAGTATAGACCACAGTATATACAGTAATAAACCTTTTCGCAGTTTTTCACCACTTGGTCCCCGAGGAGTACTTTTGGGTTGTGTGCAGCGCTTTCGTTTTGTTCGTACGGAACAGAAAAAGTTCATTTCGACGATAAAATATACATAATTATGTGTTATTTACGAACAAAATGTAGGTGAAGTATAATATTCATCTTTAATGTATGCTGATATTCTTGCTTAATGAAGAATAATATCAATAGTTAAGTACGTAATTAACGCTTGTGTTTTATAAACTGGATAACTCAAATCGTAATTATAGCATTGCATGGAGTTTTCTTAAATGTAAGTTTAAAATAAAAAAAGTCCATTGTAAGATTATATTTTTATGAAAAACGTAAATTTTGTGAATTTATCAAGCCAAATTCTAAATTTCCGAATATATTTAAGTCTTTATTTAAAAAAAACAAGGTTTGTATAGCTATACAGACCCCAATGCCTGCCAGCGCATCCAACCAGACAGTCCATTAAGCACACCCAAGTTTGAGTGATCTACAAGTTACAAGCGTTTTCAGCATTTAACAGTTCATTATCATGTACGGTGTAATATTAATTATTATACAATGAACTATGAACTATCTGTACTAGTATCTATAATAATAGACAACAATTTGCAATGTTTTTACACTTTTGCAATTAGTTTCGGGGACTATTACACATTCATGACTTGCGCCACTCTGCCATAGTACGGTTGTTGCTCCCTATCATACCACAGTAATTTTGTATACAACTCTGAATCAACAAAATAGGTTCATTCCTTATCTTTTTGGACTAAAATCTGAAAAATGTCAAAATGCCAGAGCGTAAGCAAAATGCGCTCACTAAAAGAGAATAAAGCAGTGTTTGCATTATTCAACTTTGCGTTCAACAATTGCGTTCAGCTCAACGCAGGGTTGCACGAAAAAAAAGTTGAATAGCTAAGGGCCGGTTACTCAATGTCTGGTTAACACTTATCTCCGGTAAAACATCGTTATCGACGTTACCGACTCCATGTTATATGCATGGAGCCGAACACGTCGATAATGATGTTTAAACGGAGATTAGTGTTAACCAGACATTGATTAACCGGCCCTTAATGTTGGCTGGGGACCAACTTTGTTGAAAGCGATTAGTTGAAAGGCCATTCAACCAAAAGTTGAATGCAAAGTTGAATAATGCAAACACCTTTTTATGGCGAATATTTTGATATTTTTTCATATTTTGATATTTTTAGCCATTCAACTTTTTTTCCGTGCAACCCTGCGCTGAGTTGAACGCAAATGTTGAACGCAAAGTTGAACAATGCAAACACACTTTAACAGGAAAAGTAAAGGAACGCAAAAAACCAAATTTTTAGTCCAAAGAATGGCAATAACAAAGCTAACGTCAAATAAGAATGGAAATATATGTACAAAACACATTCACACAAGCACAAGCACAATAAACACTTACTATATCAATTATTTTTTGCCTCCTTCCAATTTCAATTCACTTTTTTACTCTTTAGATTATTCTCACTTTTTGCATATTCTTTAATTTCCGTTAATTTAAATTTAGTTGAGTTTGACACTTTTCAGGATTTTGCCAAAAAAAATTCTTCTGACTAAATCTGACTACTTCGGACTGATGAGATTCTCTCTCACTGGGTGTTGCTCTCTCATTTTAGCTGTCATTTCCGAGTTAAGGAACGCTTTTTGGACTAAATCTGACTACTTCGGACTTTTTCTGACTATTTCTGGGAGATAAGGAACGCGCATAATATAACCAGTAAACAACCTTCGGTGAATTTGGCGACTGCCTTCCTCGGGGATGAATATGCTAGGGATGAAATTATTGGTACACACGCCTTCCAAGCACGCAGGGTTGCTTTTCAGAAACAAAAAATAATTAGCTCCAACTTATGTATAGTCCACGATTGAGAGAATACAAAGTTGCGCCGATCTTGGACCGCTATTCCTCTCTTAACGAATTTGACAGAATCGTTGTTTGCATGACGTCACACTTGTGCAACTTGTTTACGTTTTCCTTGTGTGGGAACTTAGCATTAAAGCATCGCATCTGGCAGCACTGTTTTCAGTTTTCTTTATTTGATATTCGTACTTTGAGTTTTATCGTTTTACTTTTCGTGCGGGAGAACCTTCTAGAAGCTTCTACTTGCAGCACGCACCAAAAGTGTTCTTTAGTTTTTGCTAAGCATTAAATTTGTGAGTTAATAAAGATAGTTAAGTTTTATTATATCTATATGTGGAGTTTTATTACCCCCACATAATTGGTGACCCCTACAGTTTGTAATACACGGGAAATGGAGCCAGGGCAAACCGATACTGGAAAAACCAACGATATGGCCCAAGCCGCACACAGCGGAGCCTCCAACGATGAGTTTTTCGAAGCGTTTAGCCCTTCCCAGCTCCAACAACCCCCAGCCACGCACATCGACCGGTTTGAGCGACTAGAATTGCCACCTTTTTGGAGCCAGCAAATTCAACTGTGGTTTGTCGCAATCGAGGCGCAGTTTCAGCTCAGGAAGATTACTGCGGACACAACTAAATATTATGCAGTGGTCGCCCGCCTCGACCAAGACTCACTCATCACGGTGGAAAGCATTATTTCAAATCCACCCGAAACAGATAAGTATGCTACATTAAAGGAGGCACTTATCAACCACTTTGCAATTCCTCAGGAGCGCCGCTTTAAGATGCTGTTATCTGGTATGGAGCTGAGAGAACGACGCCCCTCTGAACTCCTTGCAGAAATCAATCGGCTGGGAGGAAACCATTTGGACGCAGCATTCGTCCGCACTATCTGGCTCGACCGTCTTCCGCTGCAGATTCAGTTGGCCCTCACTGCCACGGGTGAGCTGGACAACGCTAGGCTTGCACAAATAGCAAACAATCTTATGGAGATTCAGCGCAACTCCGAAAACCACTGCGTAATGCCAATCGCTCACAAGTCTGACAGTAGTAGCGGAATGCAAAAACAACTCGACGACTTAGCGAAGCAGGTCGAGAAACTAGTACTCAAACTTAACCAATCAGCGTCGGTCGAGAATAGTCGTAAGCACCCTAACAACACGGCGAACGTATCGCGCAGCACTGACGCTAGCGCCACACCATTAAATTGCTACTACCACCGCAGATTTGGTGCACGTGCCAACAAGTGCACACAACCTTGCGCTTTCCAGGGAAACACAAATCGCCCCCAGTAGACACGGCGGATACTGGTGGCAAGACAATACCCCGCCGATTATTCGTATACGACCGCACAATAGGGACGAAATTCCTCGTCGACACCGGCGCGGATATTTCGGTTACCCCACCTTCTCGTAAAGACAAAACAACACCAACGCACTTTCGACTCCAAGCAGCAAACGGAAGCAAAATAGAAACTTACGGCGAGAAAGTGCTCGTCCTCAACATCGGGCTACGGCGACCGATCTGTTGGGTATTTCGCATAGCTAACGTGCCTTACCCAATTATCGGTGCAGATTTGATCCATGAATTTGGTCTTATAGTGGACCTCAAATGCGGTCGCTTAATAGACCCTAACTCAGGATCGCATAGCATAGGCTCGTATGCCACCGCTCCTGTCACAGCTGTCACAGCCCTCACCGAGGTTAACAAATTTACGGCTATCCTCAAGGATTTCCCGGAGCTTCTCGGCAATCCTTCCAACCGCACGGCAACCAAGCATGCCGTCAAGCATTTTATACCAACCACTGGGCCGCCAAGTGTTCAACGCGTCCGTCAATTATGCCCTGAGCTCCTCAAAGTTGCCAAGAAAGAATTCCAACTCATGGTCGAGTTAGGACATGCCAGACCTTCAAACAGCCCTTGGGCCAGCCCTCTGCACATGGCGAGGAAAAAGAATGGGGATTGGAGACCATGTGGAGATTACCGCAGGCTCAACGAGAAAACCATTCCTGGCCGGTACCCAATATCGCTTCTCCACGACTATTCCACGATTTTAGCAGGGAAAAGCGTATTCTCCACCATTGACCTCCGACGTGCGTTCCATCATATCCCGGTGGCAGAGGAAGATATACCGAAGACTGCTGTAATAACCCCGTTCGGGTTATTCGAATTCGTTAGCATGCCGTTCGGTCTCCGTAACGCGGCGCAATCGTTCCAACGCTTCATCAATGAAGCACTCACTGGCTTCGATTTTGTTTACGCTTATATCGACGACCTCCTCATAGCATCGAGCGACGAACAGCAGCACGTACAACACCTCCGCTTATTGTTTCAACGGCTTAGCCAATACGGCCTTTGCGTTAATGCGGAAAAATGCGTTTTGGGATCAGCCGAAGTAGATTTTTTGGGTTATCGCATTTCAGCTCTCGGGTCAGCACCGCTTCCGAACAGAGTCCAGGCACTGCGTGATTTTCCAAAGCCTAAAACAATTTTAGAGCTGAGAAGATTTATCGGGGCAATAAACTTTTATAGGCGACACATTAAGAATGCCGCTTCTACGCAAGCGCCTCTGAACGAGTTCTTAAAAGACTCTAAGAAAAATGATCGTAGGCCAATACCTTGGACTGCGGAGTCGGAGAAAGCGTTTGTCTCCATTAAGGAACAGCTCGCAGCCGCAACTCTCCTGGCACACCCTTCACCAGCCGCTGAACTCCGAATCACGTGCGACGCATCCAGTGCCGCGCTAGGCGCAGTTTTAGAGCAAAGCAACGGTAACGCTTGGCAGCCGCTTGGGTTTTTCTCGAGAAAGTTGTCACCCGCACAAATTAACTACAGCACGTATGACAGGGAGTTGACGGCAGTGTACGAAGCCATCAAGAATTTTCGCCACTGGGTTGAGGGTCGCGAATTCGTGGTGAGGACGGATCACAAGCCGCTAAT